TTCTCAAGCTGGTGCCTCGTATTACACGATGCAATATCATCTATTTACATTTCTACAATTTAGTTGGGTCAGGATCACACGATTTATGTGCTTGAGCATAAAACACGATAGGAGACCTTTTCTTTTCTTTTCTGCGTCCGGTGTCAACAACCCATATTCGATCTTAATATATAATCTTTTCACACGGGACTCGATTATGGCCTGCTTAGTAAGTACGATTGCAAGCAAATTGAAGTGTTTAGATGATATAGCACGTGTATCTTGTAATTTTCATCTCGCCTTAAAGATTATTAAAATTCCGTCAACATTTCAAATAAGAAAGCAATGATGACTAATATCACCGCTTATTCTATGATAATGCTGCGTTATTTGAATCCTACCAAGTCCATCCCCATCAATTTCCTTTCTAGGCGCGAAACACCACGCATTCATTAGCTGAAGCTTTGAGGGACCAATGTTCTATTCAGGAGTTTTCAGGTATAGCTGCATAATTGGATCAATATCTAAGACTTGAAGACTTGACCAAGATCCTGACCATCGTTATAGAAACCAACACCGTCCATCTGCGCTAACATGGTACATGCGGGTTTGATGAGAGTGTTAGAAACTTTTCTTGCTGCCAGATCCTGAACCGTCCATGATACTTCTTCGCCAAGCTCGAGTGTCATATTCTGTTCAAGAAGTTTGTCCATCGCCACAGATGTAATGGAAACTTCTTGCCAATTCGTCTCGACATTGAGATCTCTTTTCTCCTCTTGGAAAACATACACCAAGATTCCCTGATCTTTAACCTGCAATTCGTGACCACGAGATTTATCCACCTCTGTGATATTCAGTTTAGAGTTTCCATCAGGACTAATATAACTTCTAGTCTTGCGAATCTTGAGATGATAGATAATGAAATGGTCCATGATATGCTTCGGGAGTTTAAGGGCGTGATTTGGTTTCTCGTTTCCAGGACTGGAAGTAGAAGTCAGTCTAAATTCTTAATCGATTGGAATATCAAACTCACGGAATGTAGAGGGTTCGTTGCATCTCTGTAGCTAGGCCGTCAAAGCCAGGCCAGTTACTTCGGACATCTTCTTCGTCTTCGATTCCCTCGACATTAAGCTGCAGATCCCAGTGACGCATTGTACCATGGACATACGTTCCGCCGTATCTTTTCAACACCACAATGTGAGTTTCGAAGGTCTCTGCATCGATCTCAATGGTAAATAATTTGTCAGTACGTAATTCTAGGCATGTGAACTCGTAGGTCACTTTCCACTCGGAACACTTTTCAGACCAGAGACGAACACCTTCATTGTTTTTGAGGTTAGAGAGGAAAGTGGTATCGGCTTCCAATGATGTTAGGATATTGGTGAACGTAACTTCGGGACCATCTCCCTCTCTAAGTTTGCCGACGAGCGGGGGGTAGAGATGTGGAACAATAAAGTCCTCATCATATGGTTTGTTTTGTTCCTCTTTCGAAACAATCTTCACCGGGAGATTACCCAGTAAGATTCTGCCGAAGTCTATGTTCACCTTAACCTCTCCCCGAAGACCTCTCACTGGCGACACCAAACTACTAAATATTACTTCAAAGTTTTTCAGAAATGACTCCTGTGGCATTGGCACAATAGCCGGCTTTGTCACTTCTTTTTTGATTGATGCCTTTTGACCCATGGTCTTGTGGAAAACTCGATTACGAGTCTCATCCTCTTTTTGTCGACGAGGCTGCAGCAATTGGTTTTCGTGACAAGCTTTTGACTCTGAGGAGCCTACGCGTTGGGGAGAGGATAATATTGGCCAATTGTTAGGCGACGTCAAAATAGGCTTCGATTCTGGTAGTTCGGGAAAAGCCATCGAGTTCAAGAACTTATTACTAGGATTCGATTTTGTATCTATCATCGAAGTAGGTGCCATATCCATCAAGCTCTCAAGCTCCTCCGACGGAAGCTGTGGAAATCCCAGCGACCTCAGCGAGGAGGATAGAGCCGGTGGCTCCAAGGCAGTAAACCTTTGAGCGCCTAAAGCATCAAAGCCGTCTGTCGGATCGAAAATTCTCAAATTGGGGGATCTAGTTGGACTTGAGCTAATATCAACAAGTGTGTTCTCCGTAGCGTTGTGTCTCAATGCGTTCCAATCAGAATTCGCCAATTCCGCATCAATTTCAGAATCAAGAAGACACGACTGCATAGTACTAGATTTCGTTGTAACTCTATCCGGCGAAAGCTCCCCTATGCAAATATTAGCAAAAAACTTGGCTCTGGCACATCAAACCTCACGTACTATTTGATAGATTTCTCTCTAACCCTGAGGGAATACCTCTATATTTTGCTGGATTAGGAGGCATACTGAGGTTGGCTGTTGTCTCTTGATGAATCTTGTGGTTCCAGCTTTCGATGTTTGGCTTCTCATATGCTACGTTTGAATCCGATTCCGAGGCCATTGCCAAGCGAGCTAAAGAATTCAGGCTCGTATCAATGGTGCCTCTCCAGTCGAGAATATCCAATCCCTTCGAAGCATCGGTAGTAGTGGTGGCATTTGCTACCCAGCCCTCAATATCAACACATGTTGAACTGATATCTTCATTACTTGACTTGACATCTTCTTTTTCTCGCCTCTCAATTTCCTTCTTATATCCACCAGGAAAGAATTTCACAGGATCGTTTTCTGGACTTCCTCGAGATTTCCAAACAAATCCAGCCCATGGTTTTGTTGCAGAGATTTTTGTACCTGGACTTGGGACCGCAGGAGTGTATTTGCCAATCTTGATCGGAATAAATGTTACTTTAGCTGTACTCCATGAACAAGCTCTGACTGTGAATTTTGTCAATAAGTATCCAGCAGGATGCTCTTGTTCAAAAAGAGTAGTTTCAAGGTATTTTTCTTGATCTCTGAAAACGCTTTGATGATAAACTTGCACGATTCTACCTCTTCTGTATAGAAAATATGATACTGCAAAGCATATATCGACTGCGCATGTGGTCAGCTTCAAGATAGTGAACGACCGGGAATATCACGAGACTTCACTCACACTGTACTTCGCAATATTGTTGAGTTTCTTGATAACCAAATCAACACTGCCATGTTTGTCTGAACCAATGTAAACCTTCGATTGGCTAGACGACTTCACAATCTTGCTGTCTGTTATTGTCTGCAACTCAAGAACTATGGACAGTTTCAAAAACTCGTCAATCAACTCTTCTCCAGGATAGATCCAAATGTCGCGATAACTATACTTCTTGATAGTATCTGGATAAAATGTGTCATCTGAAGCTGGGTTTGGTGAGCGTGTGTGCTGAGACGGTTCATACTCATCCACTTTCACGATTAAATCGCTTTGAAACTAACAGAATCTGAGCAATTATTCCGATAGCACATCGTATTGGAATGATATACCTCAGTTGACCAGTTGCTACTTGTATCTACGTCTTCATCTTCATCCTCGGAATCTGCTTCTCTATCACCACCTTCTTGTGCAACTATCGCTTTCGTGATCTGATTCATCTCTTCTAACAGGGGTATGAGATGTCTTTCTGAAGAAAGCTTGAAATGATGATCCTGATTGAGCCATTGAATATAGCCGTCCTAGTATTCTGTCAGTGACAATTTCTTAAAATGCCAGTGGCTGCAGTGTATTGATGTAAGAAAGCATGTTGCGTCTTTTAAGAAATCATCTGCGCTGAATCCAAGATCGAAAGATACCCTAACGGCCATATTTCAAATTCGTCTCGAGAAGTCGTTGCTGTATGAAAACGGACTTTCGAACACACCACAACGTAAACGGCGCAGTAAAGTATTTCACATGGATTAAGAGGGAAGCCACTACTTACAGCGCGCATTCGATCTCTTTTCTCTGCGAAACGTTTCTCAACTTCCATAACTCCCGCTGGCTTGAAGTGCCATTCCGAAGCAATAATGACTGTTGAGATTCCACTTCTCGCAAGAGTTCCTAAATCACTGCTATCGGATAATGCATCAGTAGCAGATGAGCTGCGTGCGGCGCTTCTTTTAATATCTGCGCTCATGGTTGGAAAATTGCTTTTGACGGTAGGCCTTACTTTGTTGTCAGCAGCATATCAAAAGTCCCAGTAAATCCCCCGAAAGAAGGTAAGGGAAGAGTAAAACTGAATGTGATATCAGATCCACATGACTATAGTTTTGAAGATGAATTCGATCTAAGTGGTATTATTGTCGTTGTGTGCGTGGGGCAATATTGCGGTGGGAAACGAAACAGATTTGGCGAGGTGAATGAGGAAGGAGGGAAAACAACAGACGATATCAAGAACTGAGCTAGCGAGAAAAAGCGACCTTGTCAAAGGAACTGAAGCAAAAGATAATACCGCAGAGCATTTATCAGACGAACGATGTTAATGGTTTAGGTTCATGTAATTTTACATAAACTCGATTATTTGTTTGCCAGTGGCGCGGGTACCTGCATGCGCCAGTAGCTGCACGACTTCACCCTTTTGTCGCAGGCCGCACACTATCAAAATAAGACGAACCGTCAAGAAACATAGAAGAATGGGTAAAATTATACTTTACTTCTGCATCAAGTTATGATTTAAGATCAAAGCAGCTATTGCACGATAGAATCATTAAAAAGAAAATCTAGTTCATTCAATCATCACCAATAACCCTGGCAGATCTAACTCTGATGAACTTCCCAGTGTTTGCCCCAATGTACAATTCCTAGATATGGTGATCTTATGTAGACACAAGAAAGAAACTCCTAAACACCCTGGGCTTCGTGGCCCAAGTTCAACCCGAGATGCCCTAACCACAGTGTCTAATGTACAAAAGCGCAGGAAAATACAACTGTATCCTGTTTCTCCAATGCAATGCAGTCTTTGATGTCGCTGGATCGCTCGAAGAGAATATCGTAATTTAATGTAATTCGAAAGTAAGTGATGAATGTGAGTGTGTGTCGAGATTGCGGGATTCAAGTAGAAAGAAAGTTTTCGAGTCAGTGAAATCTTTACGAGTTCGAGACTTGAAATTGGTAATCAGGCTTCTTATTCGGCCTCCTTGACGTATTTTTTGACATTGAGAGCCCATCTCAGCTCCCCAAGAACCTTCTGCGTCTCTATCATAATCTCCTCGTTGGCTTTCTGCTGTTTGCTTGCATTTTCTTTGATATCCGCAAGAGACTTCTCCTTCTCTGCCTTGTACTCCTCATATTTCCGATCAACGTCGTCCTTTTCTCTCTGCAGTGTTTTGAGTTGCTCGGCTTGCTGTTCTGCGAGGCGTTTAAGCATGGTAATCTTCTCGTCGTCGGCTATCCTTTCCTTCACAATGATCTTGATCTCCTTCTCTAGCTTCGCTACTGTTCGATTGGCGGACTTTTCCTGATCCTTCCAATGGTCGGTCATGACGTTGTTTCTTCCCTCGTACAGCTCCGCCCGGCTCTGAGCTTCTTCGACCTTTTCTTTGCATTCTCTTTCCAATTTCTGCATCTCAGCCTTCCAAAATAGCTCGCCCTCAGTAGCTTTCTCGGCCTTGTGTCGTTCCGCATCAATTTTTTCTTTGGCATCCGCGAGTTGTCGCTCCCTCCTCTTTAGAACCGTTGAGTTCATAGCAGCATCACGCAACTTCCGCTCCCACTCTTCGTTTTCTTGCACGAATCTGCTCTCCGCCAATCTTGCTTGATCGAGAGCCTCTTCCGCTCTCAGCCTCTCAATCTTGACATCACGCTTCAACATGTCATTTTCCTTTGTAAGTCGCTCGATCACTCTCCCCGACTTCCCCAAGTTTGCCTTCCCAATAGCGGAATTAAAATCTTCGCCATCATTCGCGGGGATATCTTCCACGACATGTACATTGCTACTCGAGTACTTGGTAGGGCCAAACTCGGTAGATATACTTCTGACAACTCCTCTGGGCATTCCTATCGCGGACGGATTCTGTCGACTGAGTGGTGGTTTCGAACCATTCATGGAATTATAGCTGGTTTTTCTTGGGGTTATAGGTGTAGTGGGCTCGTTCTGTGATTGGGATTGCGCAGTCGGACTATCGTCGTGAGAATTTGGACCAAGTCGAGAGTCATCAGAGGGTACGGATCTAATTGTGCCCGTCGATGATCTGAGTAAGGACGGATCCGTGTTTATGTGAGGCATGTTCATTGCGCTGGAAGAGAGTATCGTGAGAGGGGCATGTGTAGGACTTTGCATCCTGTTAAGATGGGGGGATTCGCAATCTGGTAAGAATAGTGGTTAGTCATTGTTCAAGAGCGCAATGAGTACCGGACTTTTGTTTACTAAGTCGAGGGAGTTTTGCATAAAGAGACAAACAATTATTCAATGGACCAAGAATTGTTAAACTTTTCCCGGTGTTTCCAATTCTTCATTGACATCTATTAAAATTTAAGGTGCAGATCATGATATCTTGCGATAAGAATTCTGGATCATAATTAGAAATGCAAGCTTACCTGTACTTGGAGATTCCGTATGAGTATGGGTATTTCGTCTCGAAGATGTATCCACTGGCGGAGTTTCTGCTCGAGTTGGCATTGCTCATTTCTCCTTTTCGCAATCTAGGATCATCCTATCAGGCCATACACGACTTCCATGAGTTGTTTTGAAGTTATGTGCAATCTTTTATGCGTGTAACGAAAACGATGCTACGAGCGACCGTCTCTCCTTGCGTGGGGTAATAGATATAACGAATGATGGGAAGAATGGACTTTTTACCTAAGTGGGCTGGCTGGGTATTTGATGATAGAAGTTATCGACAATGCAATGCAGTCAGTCGCCTTGCCCGAGGTACTGTAAGTTATGTTTTTCTCCGTAGATGCTTTTCGAGTTTCCCAGATAAAGAATGGAGAGTCCGTATGGCAATCAAATCTCGTCCAATGAATCTGGCTGACCGAGCAACGAATCATGTAAGCCCCAGTAATGAGAGGATTCAAAACGGTCTAACCTGTCAATGCCGGTAGGGGGTTGACAATAGCTAGTCGGTATGGTCCCATATGCTCGCCATGTTACTTTTGTTCCCTTTGCAGGACAGTACTAGTATGTACGTCAGAGAACATGGAGTGGAGCGGAAAAAGTTATTTTGATGTCGGATATCCACGATGTACTTGCCTAGTATCTACAGATGCACTCGTGCTGCTAGCTAAATTTAATCACGACGGCTTGCCTAGATTTCACTGCTGGGCTCTATACAACACTCATTAGCAGGTACCTGGTACATCTGTCAGTGCCAGTCAGTGTCAGTGTCAGTGTCAGTCATCCAAAGGTTGGCAACTCATATTCTCCGTGGGTGATTTTCATGTCTCAACTCTTCATCACATTTTTGACGGGTAAACTAGGTAAGGTTAGGTGAAATTGGGATGTCCCCTATCATTTCATTTCGTTTGTCCTGCTATGCCCTACCAATGAACAAATCCTTACCTAATCAAAGCATGAAGAGATAGAGGCAGGGTTTGGAATAGATCTATCATAGATTGTCATAAATTATAAGAAGCTTCCTTTCCATTTATTTCCAAAGTTCGGTGTTTGGAATTTTGGCTCTTTGAGAATTTAGTGCATTGGTGCTAATAAGCCTTCTCGCATTCTAAGCCTCAATAGCCTCTGCCTGAGTCGATAGTTTTCCGCTAACAACCCTTTCACAGACAACCATCAATATTTCCAGTCCCCGTGGTCCTCCTAGGATACTCAAAATACCCTTCTTGGAGTCTTGAATACCTAAGACTATACATCCTTTTTCTTCTACTTTTTTTTCTTTTCTTTTCTTTTCTTTCCTTTCCCTTCCTTTCCTTTTCTTTTCTTTTCCATTTCTTTTATCCAGTTGATCTTGATTAGGGGCTGTAGTACCTATCTTCAACAAAATCAATTGAAATTGAAGCGTTTTCAAGGACAAAGCTTCAACATACATCCATTGAGCACTACCCGCAACAACCTGATGCACCCCAGATCCAACTTGTGGTGCAGGTCCTCTAGTTCTTATGTGATATCACTCTGGGTGACGATGGTACGAATTGAGGTCAACAGAATTGTCTAGAAGTATCATGGTGGAGCATGAAGGTTGGCACAAGTTAAAATGCCGGTGCTCTTGGGCATCGGATATTTTCGGATATTTTCTTCCTTTGCAAAACCGGATATTTAACAGCTTCACCATTGGCCCAGCGGCCAGACAATGGAATACCTCCACTGGACTAGAAGATCTCTTCCATAGGCTTACTCTTCCGTATCCATTACCGGGCTGTCGTGTTGAAATCTTCAGTGGATTGCAGTGCTGTTCCTACCCTATATTCGTTATGTTGGAGATTGTAATCAATTTCCCTGGTTTGATGCCCGGATATTTGATCACTTTGTAAGCTTTGTATCATCGGATATTTTCTCAATATGATATATACAAGCCAATTCAGTGAGAGCTATCTCAATATGTACCTATCGATCTTTCGTTTGTCTATTTTCATTGACTTATTTTGGCCTTGGATTCTCACGATATCTACGTGATACGATGAGTTCAGGATATACAAGCGAGGTAAGTAGAACCTATCCTTTATCTGGCTTTATTTGGCCATAACAAGAGCCTCGTCCTCGCCTCAGTTCAAGGAACAGTGGCTAGAATGAATTCGACTGACAGTTCACTTCAAGGGTGAGAAAACCGATCAACAAGATAAACGCTTGCAAAACTTGCCCATATATCGTCCCAAGGGTCGTTCGCTTGGAGTCCTCTTTGAAGACGTCACGGTCCATGGTGTTTCTGCTGGCGAAAAACGTGCTCAGGATCTCTTACGAATTTTTCAAGATGTTTTCGTCAACTGGCCAACAGGCTTACTACGTAAAGCAATACGCCCCGGCCGCTCCACGCATCCCACAAGAAGATTGATACAAGGAGTTTCCGGTGTTCTGCCTCCTGGGGAAACGCTCCTAGTCCTTGGGCGTCCTGGTGCTGGATGTTCGACTCTTCTTAGTATACTCGCAAATCAGCGTGCGCAATTCGTAGATGTTGAGGGTAGCGTGCAGTATGGCGCAATCGGGTCGGATGAGATGAAACCCCTTTATGGTTCCGAGGTGGCCCTGAACAACGAGGACGATATTCATTTTCCTATATTGAAAGTTGAAAACACCATGCAGTTTGCACTACGTCTGCGCAGACCAAAGTCCAATCCGAAGACAGATGCCGAGTTTGCTGAACACTGGACTGACGAAATCCTCGATTCTCTTGGCATCAAACATACAAAATCCACAATTGTTGGTAATTCTTTTGTTAGGGGCGTATCTGGTGGCGAACGCAAGCGTGTATCATTGGCTGAAGTTCTCAGCGCCGCTCCTGCTGTCGTTGCATGGGACAATCCATTGAGGGTCTTGACAGCTCATCTGCCCTCAGCTTCCTACGTCTTCTGAAAGGCATGTCAAGGGCTACTGGAATGTCCAACATTGTCACAGCTTACCAAGCCTCTGAGAATATCTACAGAGAATGCTTTGATCGCGTTCTTTTATTGTATGATGGATATCAAATTTATTCGGGCCCTGCTGGCGACACTGCTAAACGTTATTTTACCAATCTCGGTTTCGAATGCCCCCCCCGTCAAACGACACCAGATTTCTTGACAGCTATTACTTCGCCAGATGAACGCCGTGTCAAAATTGGGCATAGCCCCCCGCCACCACTTGATCCTGCTGGTCTTGCTGATGCGTTTCGAAAGAGCTCACATTATCAGGATCTTTCAATAGAGATTGGACAATTTCGTGAAAAGCATTGTGACGTGCTGAGTGCCGCGGCCTTCAAGTCCGAAGTAGCTGGATCCAAGCACAAGTTTACTCACCCAAAGGCTCTCGCGCTTAGGTCGTTCCCTACTCAGGTCATGGTCGCTATGCGACGACATTATCAACTTGTCTGGGGAGCTCGGAGGTCGCTCGCCATTATTCTCGCCCTAAATGCGGTAAACGCTCTTATCACAGGCTCCGCGTTTTATCAGAGATCTCTAACAGCGACTGGAGCGTTCGAGCTCAGCGGTGCTGTCTTCTTCGCCCAGATATACTTCTGTCTAAATGCTTTAGGGGAAACAGTTTCCACGGTTAGTTCACGAACAATTCTCCAAAAGCAGCACGCACTAGGGATGCTACATCCGGCCGTCTCGGCAGTTGCTCTCAATATTGCCGAGTTGCCGGTGTGTTTTGCGCAGACGGTTCTTTTCACTCTTCCATACTACTTTCTCATCTTTGCAAACCCAACAGCAGCCGGATACTGGTTTTTCGAACTGTTGATCTTCGTTTTCTATGCTAGTCAATTGGCGCTTTTCCGAATGCTGGGTGCATGGTCTCCAAATGTACCGGTCGCTCTCTTATTGGGTGGTGCAGCTATGCCGGTCGGGTTAAGTCATTCAGGTTATGGCCCACCGTGGCCAACACTGTTAAAATGGGATTCTTGGATCCGTCGAATCAGTCCAAGTCCATTTTCACTGGAAGCGACAATGGGATTCCTTATGAAAGATGACACTCTTTATTGTAGCTCTGACCAATTAGTCCCAAATGGAATAGGATACGATGTAGGTGGCAAATGCTCTGAGATATTTTCTGCACAATTTTTGTTTTCTACAAGAAAAAAACATCAAATGAAGCTAATGATCCTAATAGAATATAACAATAGCCAATCAAGGCTGTCCCATCTCAGGAAGTACTACAGGATCTTCCACCGTACCAGGCTCAACGTATCTACTCGCCCATTTTGGTTATCGCCCATCTAATGCGTGGCGAAATTTCGGGATCGTCTTGGTCTTCTGGGCTATCTACACCGGTTTAACAGCTGTGGGTTTGACTTTGATGACGAAGAATCAGGGCGGAGGGGCGCAAGTCGTGTATTCAAGCGAGGAGCTATCATCCCTGACGATATTCGAGGCGAAGAAGAATTGCGCGAAAAAGAATCCGATTTAGAATCTCAAGGAAACCCATCTGCTATCCATCCTCAGGGGAATGCCCAGAGTCTCAACGACTCTAGTAGTACTTTGTCCGCAAATGCCGCTGGTTGTACTGAAAATTCGAAAACCAGTTCTAGAGCGAGTTATCCCCATGTCCTATGTTGCGAGAAATAAAAGGTCTCTACTAACAGGTAAAAACAGCCCTCATTTACATTCTCAAATGTCTCGTATCACGTCCAAGTCGATGGGGAGAACCGACAGCTACTCACGGATATAAGCGGATATGTCAGGCCTGGTCAACTCACAGCTCTCATGGGAGTATCTGGTGCCGGGAAAACTACTCTTCTCGATACTCTTGCTCAACGCAAAGATACGGGTATCGTTACAGGCGACATGACGATTGGAGGTCATCCTGTTGCCAATCTAGGAGCAAGATTCTCTCGGGCTTGTGGGTTTTGTATGCAGCAGGATGTTCATGATTCGGGAGCTACAGTCCGCGAAGCTTTGACCTTCTCCGCGATGATGAGAAGGCCATTATCGGTATCGAGACAAGAAAAAGAGGCGCATGTTGAAGAGGTAATGGACCTGCTGGGGCTTAAATCAATCGCCGATGCCTTGATCGGCGTTCCAGGAGAGGGAGGTCTGGGAGTTGAGGAACGGAAGCGAGTCACGATAGGCGTGGAGTTAGCCGCCAATCCTTCAATGTTACTATTCCTTGACGAACCAACCTCTGGACTCGATAGTCAAGCTGCATACTCGCTCGTTATGTTTCTGCAACGTATTGCAGCTTCTGGAGTACCTATCATCTGTACAATTCATCAGCCTTCCGCCGTCATTTTCGAAATGTTTGATCATGTCCTTCTTCTGACTAGGGGAGGACGCACTATATATTTCGGCGAAACCGGTAGTAACTCGGGCATTGTCGTAGATTACTTTGCCCGCAATGGCACTACGATGGATAGCACTGCCAATCCAGCCGAGTTTATATTGGATACTGTGGCTAGTTCTTCAGGAAGTGATGAATGGTCTAGAACATGGAATGATTCACCCGAACGCCGCAATCTACAGATCCAAATAGAACATCTAAATTCTTCGGTCAGTGGTAATCTGGAGGACTCTACTACAGAAGAAACACTTCCATGGATACATCAATATATTACCCTTACGTCTCGTCATTGGTTGACTGTATGGCGCAATGGAGTTTACAGTTTTAGCCGTCTTGTGAAAGCTATATTCATGGGTCTTTTTATATCATTCAGCTTCTATCAAACCCCAGACACAGAGCAAGGAACCCAAAATCGTCTCATTGTTCTCCTTCTTCTACCATGGGTCATCCCCGCTTCCGCAGATGATATCCAAGCAATCTGGTATTCCAAATGGGCACTCTACACGGCACGCGAGCGCTCCGGCGTCGGTTATCATCCACTCGCTCTATGCGCCGCTCTCATCACAGTAGAAATTCCACTTGCCATAGTAATCTACACAATATACTTTCTCTGCAGTTGGTTCACTATCGGTCTATCCGAGCCTGGATTCGGTTACCTCCTATTTCTAGCACTTGGTATATACGGACTCGGTTTTGCCTTGGCAATCGCCGCGCTGGTCCCCAATAGCGAAGTTGCTGGGTTTGCAAATAGTCTTGTGTGGTGCGTCCAAACGACTTTTGGTGGAATGGCTCTTACGTATAGCGACATGCCTTCATTTTATTCTGCGTGGCTTTTCTGGGCAGACCCGCTACGCTACTGGCTGGGATCTGCCATTTCGAACGGAGTTCACTCTGTTCCCGTTATCTGTTCTGCAAACGAAATGACAATTGTTAATCCACCTTCAGGACAGACGTGTGGTCAGTATCTCGCGACCTACCTTTCAGGAACTGGAATTGGTGGCGCAAGTATGGGATATGTCTCCAATCCTAACGCAACAGAAGACTGTAGCTATTGTCCCTATCAGGTGGGAGACGATTACGCGGCTTCGTTTTCCTATTTTTATAGCGAGAGAGTGAGGGATTGGGGGATATTTACCTTGTTTTGTTTTAGTACATTGGCGATTGCCTTTTTGGCTAGTTGGGGGAGGTTTTCGGATTTGAAAGGTCTGTCGTTGAGGGGTTTGGGGTTGGGGAAGAAGACGAAATGATTGGATCAGAATGGAAATGACATGGTAGGAGAAATTTGAATGCAGGGAATGATAATAGACAATAGAAGAATACAGTAATTAGATTTCTTTTTCTGTGGAATATTAAGTATTTGATACTAAACAATTCTACATTTGACAACGTAAAACCATGGTCTCCAGTTCACCCATTGATAATTTCGCTCCGTGAAATGGAACCTCATTTGATACTTAATCACATACATAGAAGGGCATTAATAAGAAACCACACACTGTAATTCTGGTGTGTGCTGCATACATTGTTTTGGAACTTGCCGTCTTGAAAATCCTCCATCTTTTCTCCTTGATCAACTTCTTTCACTTGCATTACTGAAAACGAGAGGAGATTATTTCTTCCTCCCTCCCAACCCCTCTCTCCAACATCAAGGGTTTCCAAAATCATACAATCATATGGATAGTTTAACACAGTATACATCACTATTCATTCCTACGAACCTAGTAAAACTCATCAATCTAACAAATTCACCAGCTCATTCCGATATGTAAACCCCCTCGGAAAGTTGCATTTGATCTTTAATCGCAATACCAAGTGGGTGTCAACAGATTGTCTAAAAAATCCCGTCGTTCAAGCCTTAAGGAACTCTCTTTGAGGGCGTCAAATGTAAGACTACATACAATGCGAAGGAGTGATCTTATTTTGATGCTTTGTGTTTTTGATTCATGGAAAAATAGCGGGAGCTGGGTTTGCAATACTCATACTTATTGTATACAGATAAATATGCTTCAATTCTCATGTTCATATTTATTCTATATTTTGTTTTGTATGCGACTTGAAGTTGTACCCTGTATTACATTTTCGGTTCATCGCATAACAGATTTATTGCGATCTATCCACATTATACCAGACAAATCATGTTGTTCCAAATAGACAGTAGCTCATTCTTAGTCTAATCGAAGAGACGAGGAAACTTCTGAATGGCAGTAGCTCCCTTTACCATTTTCATGATTGCCAGATCTACCATCTGATTAACAGATACTTCAAGCCCAAATAACACGATCCACACCTGCGCCTTACAGTAAACCCCACGGTACACCATTACCATTCGACATACCGTGATCCGTAAAGACCTGATCGTTGACATCAGCCCATTGATGTGCACCTGTATTGCGACCACCGCTGGTATTATCTGCAACCGCAGCTTCGTGCGTAGGTACCTGTTGCGGCGTTGATTCCTCAAAGCCATAAAATGGCATGAAGAGAAAGTCTGAACTTTGTGGAAAAGCTTGAGTTGTATGTTGCTGAAGCTGGTCAGGTTGTGATGTACTCCCATAATTTGAAGAAGTGGGAAAATTGACACCAGAAGCATTGTGAAGTGGACTCGAAGTGTTGGCTGGAGGTGTTTCGGTGGCAAAATGAGGGATCGGTGTATTTGCAGTTGTGTTTGCGAGCCATGGAAACTGTCCAAGTAGTGTATCCAGCTCATTATCAATAGTATTTACAGTTTCAGTGCGCTCCTGGATAGATTCATATAAAGGCGCTGTATTATAAGCAGGTGTTCCGTTGCCATCAGGTGCATCATCTGCGTTAGGGCCTTGTGCAGAGCGAAAGGCATCTTTGGCCACACGCATGATGCGTGAACTCAGCGTTCCCCCAATCTTAGGCCCAGAATGCTCCATGAAACTCAAACAACGAAGACCATCTTCAACAGCTTTGAAAGTATCTGCGACGTTACCAGCGCAACTCTTCTTAGGTCCACCTATAACATCATAGAGCAAGGTAAGACAAGCACCCACGATATTGTAGGCCACTCCAGAGTCTTGCCTCATTGACGTTGCGCGCGTATTATAGGCATCAAGTGCGAGGGCAATGAGTTTCTTCGATGCGGACATGGCCTTTTCAACACAGCCAAATATATCCGTGAAGCCTAACTCCTGGGCTGCGGTCAGAGCTTCGGCCCTTGATGCATGTTTACACACGAACACTAGTGCCGGTCGATGGATAAGAATGATGCAGTGATAATAGTGTAATCCAAGATGTGTACGTTGGACTTCATGCCACAGATGAGGACTTGAAGGCATTGTAGAGTCAAAGAAGTGTAAGAAAGGAGGAAGATCTCCCATCGCTTTTTCTAGGGCCAGTTCACACTCGCGAGTAACATGGGGGATATTGGCGGAATCAGTTACAACTCCACCGTAGAAGTATAAACCGCTATTGATACGATCGGCCACACGGCCTAGAGTAGCCATAGCACGGACATATGCCATGTCTGTAATTTCTTCTGGAGTATCATTCTCCGTCTCCAAGCTTGGTAGATCTTCGGGAAAGGCAGTATCAATGAATTCATCTCTTAAACAGGATGCCCGACCATGAAATAGAGACACAAGCTTTTCCGTCGAGTAAAGATTCCAAAATGTTACCCGGAGACGATGCATGTTGGGGCGGGTGCCGTTGGCGACCTGGGCCCTATTCATGCCTAGTGCAAGTGCATTCAGGGCTGCATGGCCTACGTAGAGATAAGAGTCATTAGGACGCATTAGTTCGATGGCATATATAGATTTTAGAAGAAGTAGGTGAACACCCTTGAGGGAAGCGTCCTCGAAAGTCGAACCAGACAGCATCGCACGTGATGACAAGTAGGATGCCCATCTAGCCATAACCTTAGCATCTTTGTCAGGAGAAAGACTAGACATTACGGCGCCAATCGCAAGCACCATAAGTACGATATTTTTTCGAGTTAACTTGCTACTATAATAGGCGTCTCGTTCTGGTGGTGGAGGCTCCCAGAATGACTCCCAATCTTCGCGAATCTCGCACGATTGAAGGAAGGGCCACTGTGGATGAGCGACCTTGAAATAGGTGCAAATGAAACAATCCCCAAGATCTTTACTTAGATGAACGGGCAGAGATGTACCGCCCTCATTATGATGTTGGTATTCAGGACGCTCGGGTGGGAAGGCAAATTGGTCCAAGCCCCAAACACGCATCGCCCCTAGCCGGTCATTGCTTGAACTTTTGGTGCGATAGATACACTGGTAAATGCTTTGAAATAAAGCCAAATTGGATGCTGGCCCATAATATTGAAATGCTCCGGTGCCAGTCTGGCATACTCCAATACCAGAAGAACGTAGCTCTCGACGTCTCTTGACTGCAAGTGGTCCGTTATTATCAATCGCCAATGGACGGTGAGTTTCTGGACGTATCACTATAGGCGACGCTGTTGAACCATCTCTCAATCCTGGATCTTGCGTCTCCTCAAGAGGGTCCAAATCAAGGCGAGGTCTCTTTTTCTTCCTACCCCGTGACTTCAGTGCCGTGTATGAGCACTCTCGATTGTGTTTAACACATGAATTGCATGGTTCATCACCAGAACATTTTTCTTTTCTATTTCGGCAGTTCTGGCAAGTTTTTAGAGTCAGTACAACAAAGCCATATGAGTTAAATGAGGATATACTTATGCATTGGCAACTCGATCCACTACCCCCTTTTCTCTTCCTCTTTCTATACTGGTACCACGATCAAGAGATGTATCTGAAGACGAGGCGGCCTGTATTGTTCCAATAGGCGTTGACAGACTTATGGGTGCTGTTGGAACTCTAGTTTCCATCTGATTGAATTAACGTTCAGTTCGTGATACTCACGTCTGCTACTTTCTGCAATTTTATCTTCTTCGATCACGATTCAGGACGAGCACAGCTTAGTAAGTATGCACGTGATTCATGCCAACACACCTACGTAGTATCCAGGTATAAAATGGATCATCGCTTATAAATACACCAAAAACCATGAGCCTAGGTCCCTAGGTCGGGATGTCAATCTTTGTGAACTTGTTGAGTTGATCATAGTCAAAACTGCAATCTAACTGTAAAAAATTTGAAAATTTATGTACCGCCCCGCATCTGTTTCTGACTCCCGGGGAATTCCTGATCATACAATAATGTGCGTATAGCATTTTTTAACCCCTAGCCCAGTCTTAACTCATGTCCTATGAAATCCTTTATACGCCGATTGATGCTGGAATGCGAGAATTGCTAAAGTACAAGAAGGGCATGTAAATTGAAATTAGAAACGTATACACCTAAGAGCTGATGACCATGCCATTCGGTTTCGTTTCTTCGTCATCGCCTTTGAGTCGGTCCTCAAATCCTGGGCGCCATTTCTTGAGATATTTGGCGGCGATGGGTTTCGCATTGTCATCTTTCAAGTTTATTAGTATGGCCACAACGAAGGAAGGAAGGACTAAAATCTTACAGGTGTTCCAAATATCTTCAACTGCGTCAAGAGCCAAGTCTCGGACCGGTGGCCGCATCATAACCAAATAAAGGAGACTGGTTAGCGATAGATTAACCATTGTTGGGTCCTTGCAAAGCCCTTTTATTTTGTTCAACACCTCTGGACTCAACCCTGGAATCTCGCTTAAGAACCTAGTAAGGACTTTGTCCTTAGCATCAAGATAGATTGAAATTCCATCTAAAACTTTGAGTGTCCATTTCTCATAATGGAGCACCGCTGAACCATCTCCCAGCTTCATTTGTACTTTGTCGTTGTACCATTCTTCACACAGCCAAGCGACGGCGATGTCAATTCGTTTTCTAAAATCTTCTAGGATGTAAACAAGCAGTGATTGCCGAATAGTGTTACTCAAGGATATCCGCTCGGCATCTGGCGACTCCAACTTGACAGCGTCTGAAGACTCTTCGAGACCGGCCCCAGCACGCGTTGCAAGGCGCGTAATGATAGTAATCCATGCATCGCGATCGTAGGCACTAGCTGCTAGTCTATTTATGCCAGCCTTTGCCTTTCTTGCAGCGGGTTCTTCTAAGGTCTGCATCACACCGAAGACTCGAGACACAGTACCTTGGCCAACCAGAGTCACTTCCTCGGCGTTTAGAGACGGAGGGGGTGGCAACGTGAACGGTCCAAGTGCTACATTTGCAACCTTTTCGATATCCACTTTAAGCTCTTCAGGTGGTGAACTGTCTAATTTGTTTAAAATTTGTTCTGTATCTTCGGCATTGTAGAAATCAGGTTCGTAGTCATCATCGTCTTCTTCTACGCCCAGTGGAGCCGTTTCAGGGTTGATCTCTTCGGGCTTAGGCTCTGAGAGAGCTTGAAGTCTTGCTTTCACACCCTAATCGCCAGATGAGTAATCGTGCGAACCTATCATTGAATTTGGGAAAACTTACGCTTATAGCCTGTTCAATGGTGTCCATATCTATCCTCTGGAGAATTGTTATACCAATCTTGACGACTAGGTCTTCTGATAAAAGTGCAACGTCAAAACCCTTTAGGGCTTCATCGGTCGTGATAGTGAAAAGCTCGGCGATTGTGTGATTCCCAGGTGCTAGTGGTGGTATATGTAGTCGAGCAGGTTTAACTTGCGCGCCTAGCTTTTGACGTTTGGCGGGATCCAGGGCGTCCACAGGTTCTGGAGGTCCACGCTTTCTATTTCCCTCGTCGAAGATTTCCGTTTTAGAGCGCATCATTCGTTCGACATATTGCTGGATTCGCCCATTGAGTGGATTGTGAGGGTCCCTACAACCATCAGCTTAGAACAAGCATACTTCACAGGGACAAAAAGACATACCGCTTGCTAATATGGATAAGTAATGATCTAGTTGTCTTTTCCATAGATTTAACCATAACGCGCAATTTGGGAGTCATTGGAGAATTGGCTAGTTTCAGGGGATTGAAGTTTAGAAGAACATTTAGAATTTTATTTGCAACATGGGGACGGGCTCGGATTAAGATGGAAAGTGAATTCAAAGTTGCATCAACAAGTACAGCATCGCTAGACATGTCAGTTCCTAAATGGGGGAATAATGTGGAATACAATGAGCTCGACATACCTAGAGTTCTCTTGGAAGACGCTGAGGAGTCTATCGAGAAGACCTGACGCTTCAGCTTCAAGGTTTCGAGGGGGGAGAATGGTATGGTTCGGAGGAACCATAGATAGTGAGACCTGAAGAGGATCGCCGCGCTATACAGAAAACACCATTAGCATCTTGCCTTTTGGGAAGTGCTAGGTACCTCTCATACCCTAGAATCTGCGTCGGGCCCTGTTGTTTGCACCAACACAACCCTCTGCGCAAACTTAATACAGCATATTCTGATTCCTGGCTTCGCAGTATCCCACATTCGAAGTATGCGAGTTTTGATTGCGACCATGCGCTCCCAGGTCGGTATGTCGTAGGGATTGTTGATACTATTTAGACACACTAGTTAGAACCAGCTCTAAGTTCGGCGCCCATTGCTTGAAGCCATCCAAAGATATGAAGATAGGAAGAATGTTAAGTTCTAAATCATAGCTATAAACGGACAAAAGTTCAACATACATCCATCGAACGACAAGCGGGTATATGCTAGCTGCTGTTTGCACTATACTCTTAACTACTGCGCTATCTTCGTGCGGGTTCTCAATCATGTCCTTCAATGTATCAAGTACGACCAAACTCAATGTTTCTTTCTGCGACGAAGGTATAGTTGGACTTGAAAACGTCTCTGCAAGAAAATCTGCGCCCCATCGTCGTAATTCTACCCTCGCGGATGGTCCAATGATTGGTAGTATTCCTTGAATGATTTGAGTGTAATAGTTGGCATCCGAGAGCACAAGTTTTCGAGCATCATTCAATTGATTGATTTGTTGTTCAACAGTCAAGGTAGCCATGACGATGAGGATAACCTTCAAAGGCTGTGGGGAGAGAAGTCGAATATGATCTACTATGGATTGTACTGTGCAAGCTGCATGTGAGAAAAGACTACACTGATATCCACTATATTGATTTGCTGAGTTTGTAGTCAAATTGACTCCAAACCATTCTGCGAAGCTGTTGTTGAAAGAATCAAGGTTGACAAACAAATTGTGTTTCTTTGATGTGATATTGGCTGGAAGGTAAACGCGACCCTTTTTTAAGTTGCGCGATATTGGCAAGCACCAAATCTCAATGGAACTGTACCTACCTAGTAGACCTACTAGACATATTCCAAGGTAGCCTTATCGATAAGGCTGGATCTCATAAATTCCATTACTTGGGAATTTCTTTTTGGAAAGTGGCGCCATTGAACCATATCAATATACCAATTGACAAAAGATTACAAGATGCCGTTGTAAGTTCATATTTTGATTCTAGACAATTGAATGCTTCATGCTAATAAAGAAACATTATAGAGTTCCTAAGTCTTCCTATTACGATAAGAATTACAAACAATCTGCTGCCCTCATTCGAGCGCGGAGACCATATCTTGTTAAGAATGCTTTGACAGGGGTTGGCATTGCTGCATTTGCTCTTGGAGTTTGTAAGTATCTGCGAGAATATTCCAAGGCAGTTCAGAGTAATAACTTTCTACAGTTGCTTTCACTATTAGAGCGGTTTCGCAAGACGACTTTGAAGATGTCAAAGTACCAGCTGCACCAACCACACGGGATTCTTGACTGGATTGTGACGATATGACTGAGATCAACAACGGTTCTTGTGGGCTAAATCCCATATACGTGGAGGAGGCGACTTCATAATACCAACATCGAGCAGACTAGGGGCTACAAAATCACAAGTAGATGCAACGATTATCATAGATTCAATGGGGGGCGTTTTGATGAAGGAAACCTCTTGGGAATCTCAAGGGCTTCAAGTTTGTAGCTTTCTATATTTGAAGCTTCACGTTATAAATACAGATGAAGCTAGTATTATTGCAATACCGCATAAAGGCTGAAGGGAATCATATACCATATGAATGGTAACCATCATATCACAGAACGCCGAACCGAATGAATGCTTTTCTGCCGTAACACCCACCATGCACCTTGAACCATATATTTGCGCCCTCGTAGTCATTAAAACTTTACTTGTAAACTCGAAGCGTGAGTTAGATTTTGTGGAGATGCACGAGTCACTCACGGTGGAGATATGCGGGTCATCTCTTGTACCACGTCCTGTAGTCCGGCGCGTGATGTCTGGTGGATTTGATTACTGGCGACGGGAGGAGCCTGATGGTTATGCTGCTCGTTGGAGATGGATAATAGTGGATGAGGAGGTCTAGTTTGCTTTGGTGACAAAGATGGCTGTCGACTGCCCAATGGTGATGGTACGATGGTGTGTGAGTGCGAAGTATTAGAAAAAGGATTATGTGGAGAAACTCGTCCACCAGACGTCATGTATCCATTAGTATGTTGTAGTGCTGATGTTGACATATTAGAGAAGGTTCCTGAGATAGGGCCGCCTTGTTGATGAGAATGGCGACGGGGCTGTACTTGAACTTGCGACAAAGGACTTGTGGTTCTTGGTGTATGCTGTGCTGAGGTCTGACGCTGTATTAAATGGGAGTTAGAAGGATGCTGCGGATTCGCCCAGGGTGTTTGTTCAATGAATTGTTCTTCCGCCGGCCTATGTCGCGATGTTGACCTTGCTGTTCGCAATGCCGCAAACTCTTGCAGCGAAAAATTTGCTGGTTGATGCACATTTCTAGTCCCCTGTGAAAAAGCCCCGTCAGCTTGCCTGTCCCTTTTTGGACAAAGGTTTCCTTTTTAGACTAGATCCAGCCATGGCTCCCAAATAATGCACTTACTCCCATTGCATTAGTTACACCCATCTTCTCAAAGTCATCTTCGAG